GGATGCGGGGCTCCCGGGATCGTGCCCGGCGCTCGGGGCGGTGGCGAGCGGGTGGGAGCTGTCCACGGTGCTGAAACTGCGGCGGCGACAGCGACAGGGACGCGGCCGGGAGCAGGGAGCTCTCCTGGAAGCTCCATCGCGGCTGCGAGGCGGGGGACACCGTCGCTCGCCAGCCCATGCCCGGTCCCCGAGCCCCGCGAGAAGGCGGGACGGTCCGCAGCGCGACAGGTAAGGAGCCGTCTGGGGGCGCAGCTGGAGCGCAGAACTAGGCACCCAGTGACCTGGAAAGAGCTGGGGGAGCCCTCGCAGTGATGAAGCTCCGACCCCCTTATAGGTCCTTGAGCTCCTTTAGAGCTCTGGCCGGGTCTCTTCCCACTCCTCACCTCGGCTGGGTGACGCGAGGAGGGACTTGAGGGACCTGGACTGTGGTAGGCACCTAGGCACCTTGACCCTCTACCACCCACCAGGCCTTGACCCCGACCTGTGACAGCTCTGAGACACCTTGCCTACTGGTTGCAGGAACACTGATGCGAGTCTCCTGGACTCCCTTGTACCCTGGTCTCCACCAAGATTCCATGACATTGGTAACATCTGAGTGGGCTTCACTCAGCTTCTCTCTCCTATCCAAACCTGGCACCGGGGGGAATGGAGAAACTGTGATCTCCTTGCTTTTAGATTTCTTTGCCCTGGAAATAGCCCTTGGGACAAGGAAGTGTGTGTATGCGGTGTGTGTGTGGGGGGGGGGGGAGTGTCTATCTTCTCAGGACTGTTTAAGCCATTTCTCTGAGGAAAGAATTGGTGCCAGAAGGTACCTCGGCTTTATCCTGTGGCCCTCTTCCTCATGAAAGGGGGCCAATTTTGCTTGCTTCAGGAGGACAAAGTAGGGAACCTGCTGGGTCTGGCTTTCTATTATATGCCTGAATGCTGATGCCCCTGGACAGAGACTCCATTTGGAGTTCTCTCTCCTTCTGGCAAGAGTGTGTTGAATGAGCTCATTCAGGCCTGCAAAGTGCTTCCAGTTCTTGAACGCAGAGTTCTGTGAGTGGCAGAATGGACCGATGAGGGAGAAAAACTGCATCGAGGAAGACTAGCTCACTCCTGTGGCTGACCACTGGCTTCACAGCGGCTCATTGCCACCCTCCAACCTAGCTCAGTTTCCACCCCTTGAGGGTAGAAAAAGCCCTGCTTGGCAGCTTCCAGTCGCTGGCTGTCAGTTATCCAAGCTTCTAAACCTCAGTTTCCTCATTCCGACAGTGAGGACAAGAACTCCGAGCATCTGCCCACCTCAGGGAACTGTCTTGAGAGTCTGTGAAGTAACGAAATTCGTCAGAGGCGAATTTCCACAGGGATCTGCTCTGTGTTCACATCCCCTCGTCGGGCCTGCTGAGGATGATCTGGCCGTTGCGATCTTCACCCCCTCTGCATTCTGGCCAGGCCTCCTTCTGCCTGCAGCCTCCAGAGGGTCCCAGAAAGAGAGAGGGCAAACTTAAAAATCTTCAGGAAATAAAGGGACTTCCTGCTCCCTTCCCCCATCCACACCTATAGATAATATAGGGCGAGAGTCTGACTCATAGTTTTTGTTTTTCTATTTCCCCAGGAGTCGCAGATCTAGGGAAAAAAGCTCCTTGAAGGCCAGGATTGTGTTGTTTTCATGTCTTCGCGTCCCTCCACACTCCTTCCCCCACAGCACCTGGACGGTAGTAAGGACTCAATAATTGGGTGTAAAAACCCAGGAATGATCTGTGAAAATGTATCAGAGCCAAAGTGTTTGACTGGAAGTCGGGGGCCTGGTGTTTGGTTCCAACTCTGCCTCTGACTGTCTTGGGCAGGTACCTTCCCTCCAGTTTTCTCATCCATCATAGGAGAGGCTGGAAACAGATGAGATTCGAGACTCCAAGGGTCTGGTGTTCTATGGAGTTCCTCGAGGCTGTCCCAAACCACCACCCTCTTAGTTCTTCTTGGATACAGGGCACCACTTTCAATATCCTGCTGGGACAAGTTAAATTGCCTTTCTGTGTTGAAGTGGGTTTTATGAATGGAGTGAAGAAAGCTAGAAGAAGCAGAAAAGGCCACTTACACATTTGACATTCCTGTTTCCCTCATTTCTCAAGGAAAGCCACGGTATATGGAGCTTAACGAGGTGGTAAGACCTTAGCCTCCAAGCTTAAAGGCCAGAAACTGCCCCATCCAGGATTAGGGGACCAGGGTCTTCATCCTCTCTCCCCAGAGACCCTTTCTGGCTGGGATCTCCCTCCTAGGAAACAGTTGGGAAAGATCCTTCCTTGTGGAAAGGATTCTATTTTATAAAAGAAAGAAAGAAAAAAAGAGCTGCTCTTAGAGGCATTCCCCTCAACTGCGGCAGGCACAGTCATGCTCAGAAAAACCTTAGCTAATTGGCACTCGGGTAGAGCTGAGTAAGCCATCCCAGTGACCTCCCTGACTTCCCCTGAGTGCCCAGCCAGGATGGGGGACCAGCCCCCCTTCCCCACATCAGCGCTTCCTGGCTCTCAGCTGCTGGTGCGGCACTGGCAAAAATCAGCTCTCTGGAGTTAATGGTCAGTCACTAACCCCCAAAACAAAGTGACAGTGGCGGGAGCAACACTCTAGAAAAGGGAGCTTATTTTTTACAGGGTTGGTTTGTGGGGGAACAGGCCTTGCTCCTAGGCAGAAGGAAATACTGTGTCCCTTCACCTGAAGGTGTGTGGGTATCCACACCTACCCCAGAGCCACCAGGGCTCCCGGTTGCTCTAGTCACCAAAGCGGATAATACCTTGTTTCTTCCAGCCAAAGGAAGCTATCCCTCAGCTAATTCTTGTGCTAACCCACCCTCCGGCCCTTCTGCAGATCCCCAGAGGGAATACCAGAGTCAGCAATAGTGTATTTCTTGTGTAATCTTAGTTTTTTAGGGTAGGGGTGAAGAGAGTTGGGGAGGAGGAAGAATAAATTAAACATGGTTGTTAAAAAAAAAAATAGGGCATACAGGGCTGGAGAGATGGGTCAGTGGTTAAAAGCATTGCCTGATCTTACAGAGGACCCAGCTCAATTCCCAGCATCCACACAACAAATCATACCTGTCTTTAACTCCAGCTCCAGGGTACCCGACACACACACAAAAACACAGGTAACACGTATACACAGCAAATAAAAAAATTTAAAACATTTTTTAATAACAGAAAAAGGGTATGCAGGGTGAAATTAGGTGGCACACATATGTAATCCTAGCACTTTGAGGACTGAGGCAGGAGGATCAGAAACTTGAGGCCAATCTGGGTCACAAAGTGAATTCCAGGCCAGTCTTGGGGGCTACATTACAAGGTTCTGTCTCAAAGGCAGGGGGAAGAAAGTGTGTGTGCGTGTGTGTGTGTGTGTGTGTGTGTGTGTGTGTGTGTGTGTAAGAGAAACTGAAATACTGACACACATACGTGCAAGTCTCATCTCTATGACATTCAATAATGGCAGAGTCAAAGAACATCCGCAGACATGCACATTATTAATTACCTTCTGATCCAAAGGCCAATTCAGCGGTGGGTCTCAGGTGAGATAGGAACAGAAGGAGCAGGCTTCGTTCAGGGAAGCAGTAACATTCTAATTCATAAAACGTGCATCTTTCTAGTCTTTGCCCTCTCTCGAATGTTCAGTTGGCATTCTACATGGGAGCCCTCCCCATGCAAGACTGGACCAAGCCCCCATTCTGCATTTGTCTCATCCCCTCTCTCTTTTCTCTTTCTCCTCTACTGCCTCCCTCTCTCCAGGTTCCCACTCCCACCCACCCCCAGCAAACCCAGCAGGAAGTGAGACTGTTAGGTGTGTCATCTCCCATCGTTAGACATGCCACTTGTCTCTAAGTGGCTCAGAAGTGGAGAGACGGGTTGTTTCATTGAGAATGAGATTTGATTTCCTCCTGAAAAGGGACTCGTTTTAGTAACAGAGCCTTCCCAGCAATGCTTTCCCATGTTAGCCACAGGTGAGTTAGGCTCTGAGGGAAGAACAGTCTTGCCCATAGGAGCCCCGGGTGCTAGATTGATTCTCCCTGGAAGACAACAGCGAAGACACTTCTCACAGAAGAAGAAAACGCGCACACACACACACACACACACACACACACACACACACACACCAGCTGTTTCATTTGCTCCTCTTCTGTCCTCTCCTTTCCTGTCCCTTCCTCAGTTTCCTTTTCTCTCCAAAAGTCCTTGGATGGATCTTAAACCTCTCTAGCCTAGGCCATTACCCAGGGCTTCCATTGCATCCATCAGATAACAGGCAGAATTCTGTCTTTGTATCCCAAGATACTTTCAAAACAGGCTCGCCCAACTTCTCCCATCCACTTTCTCCAGCTTAGGACATAGGTCTTCACAGTCCATACTGACTTCTGTTTTAATCTCAGAAAACACTCTCTTCTTCTGCATCTTTATTTTTTATTGGGTGTTTAACGACGAGATCGTGGTGTTACTGCTGCATCAAGTGTGATATCTCTTCAGCTATTTTGTTCCTCCAGGTCTTCCTGCGTTGTTCTCAAAGTCGTGTTATGTGGGCATCAGACCCGACACTCTCCGCTCTCCTCCACATCTCAACTTGCTTACATATGTGCCCTGCTTTTGCCTTTTTGTTCTGTCTTGGGGGAATTCCACTAACATTTTCTTTTCTTTTATCATTCTAAGATCACACATCTTGCTATCTGAATAAACCTTTGTATGTGCATGGCATGGTATACGTGTGCTTGCAAGTGTGTTAGGGTGTGCACAAAAGCATGTGGAGGCTAGAAGGTCAGAAGTTGATGAGGTGACGGCAGGTATCATGCTCAGCTTAGCTGTACGTTGTTTCTGAGGCAAGTTGTCTCACGGAACCTGGTGCCAAGTGGCTAGGCTAGGCTGCTTGTCTGGGAGCTCTCGGGACATGTCTGTCTCTACTTCAGCACTAGAGCTACAGACGTCTCACTAGGCCGTGTTCTTGATGTGGGTAGCAGGGACCTGAACTCTGCCCTCATGCAAGTACAGCAAGCACTTTTCTGAGCTCTCTCTCCAGCCCTAACGCTGAAGAAGAACTAGAAATGGTATTTGCCCAGGCTGCCCTTTTGAGCCAGGAGCATTCCCATAGCTTTCCATAGTCTCGGTTGGTCACAAGGCTCTTTCCCTGGCCAGAAACCTGGAGTTGTCCTGGGCCCTCCGTCTGTCTCTTCTAGTTAACCACGAACTCCTGCCTCCTTAGCCTCACTCACAGCTACCCCT